CTCCTGTGTACAGACAGGTCCTCTTCCCCTCCCTTCCTTTGGGTGTACAGGTGGGTGTCTTCTCCCCCTTCCTCCTGTGTACAGACAGGTAACCTCCCCCTCCTGTGTACAGACAGGTCCTCTCCCCCCTCCTGTGTACAGACAGGTCCTCTTCCCCCCTCCTGTGTACAGACAGGTCTTACCCCCCTCCTGTGTACAGACAGGTCTCTTCCCCCCTCCTCCTGTGTACAGACAGGTCCTCTTCCCCCCCCTCCTGTGTACAGACAGGTCCTCTTCCCCCCCCCCCTCCTGTGTACAGACAGGTCCTCTTCCCCCTTCCCCTCCCCTTCCTCCTGTGTACAGACAGGTCCTCTTCCCCCTTCCTCCTGTGTACAGACAGGTCCTCTTCCCCCCCCTTCCTCCTGTGTACAGACAGGTCCTCTTCCCCCTTCCTCCTGTGTACAGACAGGTCCTCTTCTCCCTTCTCCTGTGTACAGACAGGTCCTCTTCCCCTCCCTTCCTCCTGTGTACAGACAGGTCCTCTCCCCTCCCTTCCTCCTGTGTACAGACAGTGTACAGCGTGTTTCTCCCTTCCCTCCTGTGTACAGACAGGTCCTCCTGTTCTCCCTTCCTCCTGTGTACAGACAGGTCCTCTTCCCCCTTCTCTCCTGTGTACAGACAGGTCCTCTTCCCCCCCTCCTGTGTACAGACTCTCTTCCCCCCCTCCTCTCCTGTGTACAGACAGGTCCTCTTCCCCCTTCCTCCTGTGTACAGACAGGTCCTCTTCCTCCCTTCCTCCTGTGTACAGACAGGTCCTCTTCCCCTTCCTCCTGTGTACAGACAGGTCCTCTTCCCCTCCTGTGTACAGACAGGTCCCTTCCCCTTCCTCCTGTGTACAGACAGGTCCTCTTCTCCCCCCTCCTGTGTACAGACAGGTCCTCTTCCCCCTCCTGTGTACAGACAGTCCTCTCTTCCCCTTCCTCCTGTGTACAGACAGGTCCTCTTCCCCCCCTCCTGTGTACAGACAGGTTCTCTTCTCCCTCCTCCTGTGTACAGACAGGTCCCCTCCTCCCCCTCCTGTGTACAGACAGGTCCTCTTCCCCCCTCCCTGTGTACAGACAGGTCCCTTCTCCCTTCCTCCTGTGTACAGACAGGTCCTCTTCCCCTTCCTGTGTACAGACAGGTCCTCTTCCCCCTCCTGTGTACCCAGGTCCTCTTCCCCCTCCTGTGTACAGACAGGTCCTCTCCCTTCCTGTGTACAGACAGGTCCTCTTCCCCCTGGGTGTACAGACAGGTCCTCTTCCCCCTCCTGTGTACAGACAGGTCCTCTTCTCCCTCCCTCCTGTGTACAGACAGGTCCTCTTCTCCCTCTTTCCCTCCTGTGTACAGACAGGTCCTCTTCCCCCCCTCCTGTGTACAGACAGGTCCTCTCTCCCCCTCCCCTCCTCCTCCTGTGTACAGACAGGTCCTCTTCCCCCTCCTGTGTACAGACAGGTCCTCTTCCCCCTCCTCCTGTGTACAGACAGGTCCTCTTCCCCCTCCTGTGTACAGACAGGTCCTCTTCTCCCCCTCCTGTGTACAGACAGGTCCTCTTCCCCCTCCTGTGTACAGACAGGTCCTCTTCCCCCTCCTGTGTACAGACAGGTCCTCTTCCCCCTCCTGTATGGGTGGTCATGTGACAGCTGTGAGCCGCTTTATTCTGGGCCGGGTTAGTCAGGGAGCAGTGTGGTTGCAGTGCATGGAGGCCGGGCTCCCATTCATTAGCAGTAGTCGCCTGGTTTCCTTGGTAACACAGCTGCCTGGGGAAGGCTCGGAGTGGCAGGCCATGGAGAGAGCGGCGCCATGGACGGAGCCGGAGGTGCGGGCTCTGATCGGGATCTGGTCAGAGGAGAGTATCAGGCGGCAGCTGCAGGGCACCCTGAGGAATAAGGGGCTCTTCATGTACATCGCCCTCCGCATGAGGCAGCTGGGCATCTACCGGGACTGGAAGCAGTGCCGCTCTAAGTACAAGAACCTGAAGTACGAGTACCGAGCCCTGCGGAGCAGTACCCGGGAGCCCGTGCATAAGATCCCCTTCTACGACGAGCTGCACGCCATTCTGGGCACGGAGAGTGCCCCCCAGGGGGGCCCTGAGGGCGTGATGGAGGAGGAGGAGGAGCTCGGGCCGGAGCCGGCTGCACACACAGGTAGCGGCACAAGCGATTCCTTCATTAAACCAGCTGGGTCTCCATACACAGCACGGCCTTCATCTTACTACGGCGACATCTACTGGCCGCTGGCTGGAAGTGCAGGTGCCCCTCTCTCCCCATTCATCAGTACCAGGGCCATTCCTTTCATTCATTTCTCTCTTCTCATCAGGACTTTCAAAGGCATCTTTCAACTTTTTGTAAAAAAAAAAAAATCATAAATGCACACATATTGCAGAAAGGAAAAAAAACGTACATTTATTATTTTTTGCGCTAAAGAATGCATTACATTTGACTTACCTGGTGTGTCCAGAACGTAATGAGAATGATGTTTTAAAACTCTTTTAGTGAAACGTTTTTACAGTTGAACACTGTCTCTTCAAAGTGTGCACCTTGTGAGTGTACACGATTCTCCCAGCAACTTTTCCGTTCTTCATAGCATCCCTAGAAGTCTTCAGGTGGGATGGCATTCAGAGCCTGTGTAGTGGCTCTTTGGACGCTATCCACACTACCAAAATGGTGTCTGTTTCTAACCCTTCTTCACCTTTGGGAATATGAAAAAGTCGCAAGGAGCCAAGTAGGGTCTGTAGGGTGGCTGGGACAGCACCTTAATGTGTTTTTCAGCCAACAACTCTCTGACAGCCTAATTACTGTGACTCTGTGTGTTGTGTGATGAAGGATCCAAGTTGAGTCAATCTCAGGATGCATTTGAAAAACTCTCAAGCAACCAAGAACTTCCCAGTAAAATCTTTGATTCACAGTTTGACCAGTAGGTACAAATTCCTTATGGACAATTCCATGTGAATAAAAAAAACAATGACCCTTGATTTGACTTTTGATTTGCACATTCAAGCTTTCTTCGGGCGAGATGACGTGGTTGTGTGCCATTCTGAACACCCAGGATTCATCTCATCTCCCGTGATCACTCAACTCAAAAAATCAGGTTCTCTTTCCAAATGGGCCAACAGGTCTTGGCAAATGAGTTGACCGTGTTCCTTTTGATCTGGTGAAAAGTTCTTTGGAACACGTTTTGTACGCAGATTTTACATATTCAAATCCTGAGTCATAGTTCATGAACAATTAACTAATTCCCTTTTCCTTTGCAATCTTTCTGATAGTGAGCCGTCGGTCACAGTTGAGAACTGACCTTACTGCATCCACATTCTGTTCCATTTTTGAAGAGGGGCGTCCTGATCGTTGTTTGTCTTCAACACCCTCTCGTCTTTCCTTGAAGGCCTTGTGCCATTGGTACACTTGTGCAGATGATAGCGCAGCTTCTCCATAAGCTTTCCTTGCCATTCCAAAGTCCTGATGCACTTTTACCAAATTTCACACAAAATTTTATTGCATACCGCTGTCCCAAACTTGCTTTAATACGAGGCACTTGAACAGGGCGTCACAAAAAAAAGCTGTCTCGATTCTGAGAGGGTTGGAATGCAACTGATCAATATTCTAATGTATACCCCACCCCAAGTGTCCATGGCTAGCTTCTCCCTTCACAGAGCCCTTCTTGAGTGTAGGAACTTCATTCTCATTATATTCTGGACACACCTTATATTCTATCTACCTAGTTGACTATTCCTGCAGCCTCAAGTGTGTACAGAGGAAGCCCCCATTCATGCTAGTGCATTTTCTCATACAGTTGCTGTGCTGCACAACAATGGAAATCACATTACTCTCTGTGGGGCCTGTTCACATGTTTTCTGAAAAGGTTTGGTGCAGTTCATGAAGATTTTGCCCCCTAGACTTCAATGGAAAGACATCAAAAGCGCATGTAAAACACGTGTATGTACATTTTTTTGGTAGAGTTTTTTTTGTACATAAAATCCAGTCTCCTAGGAAAGGATGCATGAAGCATGAAAAACCCATCAAATATGTGCAAAGTTGCACTGAAAAACGCATAATACTGCAGCTGTGCTAGTGTGAATCAAGTTTTACAGACCTTTAGGTTAACGCTTAATATAGGAAACAACCCTCTGAGTGGGACTTTAGAGGCATATATAAACACAGGTTGTAAAACTAATAAAATACGTTTTTATTCATATGAAACCTATTATTTTTACAACCTGTGTTTATATGTGCCTCTAAAGTCCCACTCAAAGAGGGTTGTTTCCTATATTCTGTATTTTTTGGGGGATGATGGCACCATCCAACACCACACCAATATTTAATTGTAGGTTAGTACTTTGCTAATGTTTGCTTTTATTTTTTTTTTTTTGTTTACCGTATTTTTCGCTCCATAGGAGGCACTTTGTTCCCCCCTCAAAATGGGGGGGAAAATGTCAGTGCGTCATATGGAGCGACCGGTCCAGTATTTCCACCGCTGCCACCGTGTCAGAATACCGGGCTGGCCACTCAGCTCTTCTCTGCAGCAGGACCTTACCTGTTCCTCGGTTCAGCGCTGTACAGGCTTCCCGTGCTGGCATCTTTAGTGTGAGCACCCGGCTGTAGCAGATGACACATGACAGGTCCCAGAAGACGCCGGGCCATTCACAAAGCGCAGCGCTTCTCGTGCTTGCATAGTGGGCACCCTATGTCAGCCGGGTGCCCACACTAAAGGGAGGACAACTCCGCGGAAGTGGGTACCTGTCAAATTCAGGTACCCACTCTCCCTCCCTCCCCAAAGGTCGCAGTCCCTGGTCATCCCCCTGCAGTCTTGGTCCCCTGTAGTGTGTCCGCAGTCTCTTGGTCATCCCCTGTAGTGTGTTGTCCGCAGTCTCTTGGTCATCCCCTGTAGTGTGTCCGCAGTCTCTTGGTCATCCCCTGTAGTGTGTCCGCAGTCTCTTGGTCATCCCCTGTAGTGTGTCCGCAGTCTCTTGGTCATCCCCTGTAGTGTGTCCGCAGTCTCTTGGTCATCCCCTGTAGTGTGTCCGCAGTCTCTTGGTCATCCCCTGTAGTGTGTCCGCAGTCTCTTGGTCATCCCCTGTAGTGTGTCCGCAGTCTCTTGGTCATCCCCTGTAGTGTGTCCGCAGTCTTGGTCATCCCCTGTAGTGTGTCCGCAGTCTCTTGGTCATCCCCTGTAGTGTGTCCGCAGTCTCTTGGTCCCCTGTAGTGTGTCCGCAGTCCTTGGTCATCCCCTGTAGTGTGTCCGCAGTCTCTTGGTCATCCCCTGTAGTGTGTCCGCAGTCTCTTGGTCATCCCCTGTAGTGTGTCCGCAGTCTCTTGGTCATCCCCTGTACTGTGTCCGCAGTTTCTGGTCATCCCCTGTACTGTGCCCGCAGTCTCTGGTCATCCCCTGTACTGTGTCCGCAGTCTCTGGTCATCCCCTGTACTGTGTCCGCAGTCTCTGGTCATCCCTGTACTGTGTCCGCAGTCTCTGGTCATCCCCTGTACTGTGTCCGAAGTCCATTGGTTCAGAATATTTTTTTTTCTTGTTTTTCGCCTCTAAAACCTAGGTGCGTCTTATGGAGCGAAAAATACGGTACATGTTTTAAAGATCCATTTTAGTCCTGGAGATTACATAGAACCCCCAAAAACATCATCATATATTTTCTGAAAGTAGACACCCTAGAGAATGGGAAAAAAAAAAAATAGCTGGTCCAATTTTTGTATGTCGCAAAATATTAGTGCAACGTTTTAGGAAATACAAAATTTCAGTACAAAATACACTACAGTTAATTTTGAGGCGCACAAACGCAATAGTTTATCCAATATTTTGGTAAAATATAAAAGATGAGGTTGCACCAAGTCAATAGGTACCCAAGGGGGGAGATTTACTAAAACTGAAGCACACAGAATCTGGTGCAGCTGTGCATGGTAACCAACCAGCTTCTAGGTTTTAGGCTGTATTCACACTTGAGTGATTTGTAGCTTGAAGCTCAAAGCTCCAAAAACGCTCAAAACTAAAAAAAAAAAAAAAGCAAGCAATTGTTCTCTATGGTGCCTGTTCACACCTGATCATGCGAACAGACACCTTAGAGGACAATGTTTTTTTTTTAAGTTGATCGTTTTTGGAGCTTTGAGTTTCAAGCTACATATTGCTCAATTGTGAATGCAGCCCATTGTCAAATCTTATTTGAACAAGCTGAAGTTAGAAGCTGATTGATTACTATGCACAGCTGCACCAGTTTAAATCTCCCTAAGATGTAAGACCCTAAAATTGTGCGCACCCATGAAAGAGTGACAAACTTCAACCGCTGATGTCTCACCTGTCCTTATATTAAGCTGATGGAATGCAGATCGCATTCCATCAGCTTCTTCCCTAGCCATCCTGGCTGGGTAAAGTGACACGGGAACCCTGGAGTGATGTTTTACATGTGCTTCTTCATCAGTAACAGGAAGGGAAGGCCAACAAACACCTCCCTCCCCTCTACCTGGCAGCACCCACCATGCTCATCCCGGGTCCATTGATTGGGTCACAGAGCCTGGGAAGTATACTGGGGCACTCGTGAAGGAGGGAGACAGCTGTTACCAGGGTGTGTAGAAGCGAGCAGTTATGACTACCTTTTAACTCCCAGCAGCTGCAGTGTAAAACTACTGGCCCCTCCCACCAGACATGGTATGCTTGCATTGCATGGAGAAGCACAGAGATGCAGTAATTACATCACTGGTTCTAAAATAAGGTCTATAATAAAAAAAGATTTTATTAACAATTGGTGTTAGCATTTTGATAAGAAAGGAAGAACCAGGGAAGGCAAATATATACTCAGACTAGACTTCAGATTTAACTTCAATGCCCAGAAGCTAGTAGACCGCTTCCACTGGAGGCTTCTTATACAGGTATTTTGCTTTTAAAACCATTGTTCTTTTTGTACTGTAAGCCAGGTTAGTAAGTGCTGTGCGTCTTTGTTTTGCTCATTGTTTTGCTTTGTTACACCCAGATACATACTGTGATTTTACCCAGCTGTCCCTAACATACTTTTTTGACAAACATTTGTTTAATAACATACTGATTTGTACAAGAAAAATTGAAATCAGTCAGATTTTTTGAAATATAATAATAATTTTTATAATAATAATTTTTATTTTTACACATTTCCATAGGCAATGTGGGCATACGTCTTCTTTCAGTTTGGTGGATAATGCCTTTCATCCTCATCTGGGTTTTTTTGGTTAGTTTCAGGGCATTCTCTCTTTTTTTTCTCATCTCCTATGAAAACCCTTTATGATAGAAAGAAGGGCTAGTAAATGAATACAAGTATAGGAATGGTTTTCAAAAGTATTAATTTACTACTTCCTCTGTAGTATGAAATAAAAATAATTTAGTAGTAACATAATAGTGCAATTTTCTATGAACTAGGAAAAGTGTGCAGAATACAGTAGATAGAAACCTGACATTTTAACAGTGGTGTGTAGACTTTTTATGTGATGTAACAAAATGACAAAGACAAATAATTTCAGAACTTTTTCTATCTTTAATGTGACCTATAAACTGTAAAACTCAATTGAAAAACAAACTGAAATCTTTATAATATAGGATATAGCAATCATATTAAATAGGAGTCAGTACACACCTGCCATCATTTAAAGTGCCTCTGATTAACCCCAAATAATGTTCAGCTGTTCTAGTAGGTCTTTCCTGACATTTTCTTAGTCACATCCTACAGCAAAAGCCATGGTCTACAGAGAGCTTCTGAAGCATCAGAGGGATTTATTGTTAAAAGGTATCAGTCAGGAGAAGGGTACAAAAGAATTTCCAAGGCATTAGATATACCATGGAACACAGTGAAGACAGTCATCAAGTGGAGAAAATATGGCGCAACAGTGACCAAGAACTGGTTGTCCCTCCAAAATTGATGAAAAGACGAGAAGAAAATGTGTCTGGGAGGCTGCCAAGAGGCCTACAGCAGCATTAAGAGATGCAGGAATATCTTGTATGTACTGGCTGTGTGGTACATGTGACAACAATCTCCCGTATTCTTCATATGTCTGGGCTATGGGGTAGAGTGGCAAGACGGAAACCTTTTCTTATGAAGAAAAACATCCAAGCCCGGCTAAATTTTGCAAAAACACATCTGAAGTCTCTTAAAAGCATGTGGGAAAATGTGTTATGGTCTGATGAAACCAAGGTTGAACTTTCTGGCCATAATTCCAAAAGATATATTTGGCGCAAAAACAACACTGCACATCACCAAAAGAACACCATACCCACAGTGAAGCATGGTGGTGGCAGCATCATGCTTTGGAGCTGTTCTTCTTCAGCTGGAACTGGGTCCTTAGTCAAAGTAGAGGGAATTATGAACAGTTCCAAATACCAGTCAATATTAGCACAAAACCTTCAGGCTTCTGCTAGAAAGCTGAACATGAAGAGGAACTTCATCTGTCAGCATGACAATGATACAAATCAACAAAGGAATGGCTTCACCAGAAGATTAATGTTTTGGAATGGCCCAGCCAGAGCCCAGACCTGAATCCGATCAAAAATCTGTGGGGTGCTCTGAAGAGGACTGTGCACAAGAGATGCCCTCGCAATCTGACAGATTTGGAGTGTTTTTGCAAGGAAGAGCGGGCAAATATTACCAAGTCAAGATGTGCCATGCTGATAGACTCATACACAAAAAGACAGTGCTGGAATAAAATCAAAAGGTGCTTCAACAAAGTATTAGTTTAAGGGTGTGCACACTTATGCAACCATATTATTTTAGTTTTTTTTATTTTACTTCCCTCCATCTAAAAGATTTCAGTTTGTTGTTCAACTGAGTTGTACAGTTTATAGGTTACATTAAAGGTGGAAAAAGTTCTGAAATTATTTATCTTTGTCTCATTTTTTTTACATCACAGAAACCTGACATTTTAACAGGGGTGTGTAGACTTTTTATATCCACTGTAGGTAAGGTTGGGGATATAAAAAAACACATTTGTGATTGATATACCGAAGTATCAATAAGAAATAGAAGCAATGTGTACAATGTTGTGATGAATGGATAAATTAATATTTTCTATGAGCAGAAGAGAGATGATAGAGGGGTGTGACAACAGACAGTATCCACAAGAGAGAATTGCAGAAGGTGACCATGACCATGGGCAGAATATGCAGGAAAGCAGTGTGGAGGGTATGACAGTAGGCAGTATGTGCAGGAGAGAAATGTGTTGGAGGGTATAACAAAGGGCAGTATCTGCAATGGAGAAGTGCTGGAAAGCATGACAATTGGCAGAGTGCGCAGAAGAGAAGTACAGAGGGTATAACAGCAGGAGAGCTGTGCACAGATATGACAGTGGGCACTATGTGCAAGAGAGAAGTGATGTAGGGCATAACAATGGGCAGTGTGCACAGAAGAGAAGTACAGAGGGTGATACAGTATGTGCAGGAGAACTGTGCAGAGGTATGACAGTGGGCAGTATATGCAGGAGAGGAGTACCAGAGGACATGAAAGTGTGAGGTATGTGCAGGAGAGGATTGTTGCATGGTATGACAGTGGGCAGTATGTATGAGAGAGAATTGCCAGAGAGTAAGACATTGGGCAGTATATGCAGGAGAGGAGTGCTCAAAGGTATGACAACAGGCAGTATGTGGAGGAGATGAGTGACAGAGGATATAACAGCGGACAGAATGAGCAGTAGAAGAGCACTGGAGGGAATGTCAGCAGGCAGGATGCGTGCCAGAGGGTATGATAGTAGACACTATATGAAAGAAAGAAAGAAGTCCCAGGGGCAATGACAAGAGGCAGATTGTGCAGGAGAAAAATGACAGCGGGCACTGTATGCAGGAGAAGACTGGCATGATGGTGAGCTGTATGTGCTAGAGGGTATGGTGTTATTTGTACTGGCGATAGTGGAAATATGGCGGTTTTGCACCCTGATCATGTGAATGTTGTTTTTCACATCCATACACAAACGTTTTATACATAGAACCCAAAATATATTGATGTATTTTGCTACAGCCTTCAATATAAATTATTATTTTTTTCCTCCTTATGCCAGATCTGCAGAGTCCCGAAGGAGGTACCAATGATCTGCTGCTTGTACCAGCCGTTCATAATGAGGGAGGAAAGCATTGGTCTGCTAGGGAGACACTAGCACTCATCAACATTTGGTCTGACAAGAGTATAAAGGGGCAGCTGAAAGGAACTGTCAGGAACCAGAAGATTTTTGAGCACATTGCAAGTCTTCTCCAGCAAGCAGGGATAGACAGAGATTGGAGGCAGTGCCGGACTAAATATAAAAATTTGAAACATGAGTATGCTGTGGTGAAGAAGGCTCATGACTCTGGGAACCGATGGAAGACAATGAAATATTTCAAAGAACTGGATGCTATTCTATCAGGCAAACCATCTGGGTGCAGGAAGATTAATGACAGACCATCATCACTGCCATGCCCCAGACCTGTTCCTTCTACTGTTGCTGCTGACTGTCTTGCAGGTGAGTTGGAGATGTCATTTTATAATGGAAATGATGGCCTCCATCA